TGAGCAGCAATTGCAAAACACAGCTTCATGCGTTTCTAGCTAATTTTTCATCTACTCCTGCGAAATCAACACCTCTTACAATGTATGATGCTAAAGTTACATCCTCCACGAATTTAGTTACTAATTCCGCCACTTTACCTTTTTTGAAAACCACTTGTAACGGAAAAAGAACAGTGAAAATCCCTCTGCAACTTCTTTGTTGAACAGTATTTTCATTTATTTGTTCCTTCTTCCTTTTGTGTATTCCAACCTTGTTTCGATCTCGTTTAACTATGTCTTTTGTTCTTAAGTCTTCCCCGTTTGAGCCTTTATTATATGATTTTGATTAAATACTTATTTTTGTTACCTAATTTTCTATTGCATGTTGCCGGACCATTGACAGTAAGGTTGTGTTTGACTAACCTCAAGGTCACGGCGTGGTTCATTTTGTGACTGTCAACCTTCTGACTGTCTACTTGGGAGAATTGCTGCAATCCCTGCAGATAGATATTTGATCCCATCTTATTGGGAATATTTGTATTGATTCTCAGGTATCAAACCCTTTAGTATTAACTGTCTCTTTCATTGTTTAGCGCTCCACTTTGCGTTAGAAAAACTTCTGACTGTATAGCACAGGCTGTACCGTTTGAGGTATTTTGTTTTTTTGATGTAATTTGTTCTGTTCTTAATTAGAACCGTTTATATTGAGCACAGAGTTTGTGTTTTGATATAATATAATACGAGTATCTCAAAGACGCGTTGTGAGCTATACAGAGGAACTTGGTCTGGTCTAATCGAATAAATTTTGGGTTCGTCAGTCCGTTGTTCCAACCGAATATTGGCTGTTCGGTCGTTACACCACTCGTACAGGAAGACAGGTACATATTCCCAAACGTTATGTTGAATTCATTACCTAATATTCCTCCCCTTATTTTTTGCAGTGCGGGTAAATACTTACACAATAGCAGAGATACCAATAACGTTTTTCACAAACAACTTTTAGAAATAAAACATTTTGTGTGTATTGCTGCCATTGAATAATACCTTATATTATCCTTACCGTATATGAGATTCGCAAGATATTCATTATTGAGTGTCTGATGACATTTAACTTTGCTGTATTCGTTCACCTTAGTACTAATCGTTTACATAGTATATATAAATAAATTCACAATATATCCGGGAAACTATCAATTTACTTCATGTTATTATTCTTATTATACATTTTATTACTGTTGTCAAACCTTTTATATACATTATAAATACATCAAAAATAATGAACAAAAACATTTTTAACACAAAATATTTTTGTTCGTGAGTATATATACATTTAAAGACCACATTTTCCCCATGTCACTTTATGTGTAACCACATTTATTCAATATCTATTGTTTTATGTATCAGTATTAAAGTAACGAATGTAAATCTTTGGTTATATACACACATACACTACATCGATCGTTAAAGTAAATGCCATATTTGTCGGTTGTTCTATTCCATTGGCCACAGCTTTTTATTAAGGATAATGGTAGTGTGGAGGAGCTTCCGTTAACCAAGTGGACCCATTTGTGGTTATTACCTCAGCAGGAGCTAACATCGCGGTTTTTTTCAAAAAAACCGTGATAAGTTTGTTATTTTATATACAGTTCACATTATAGCAGTAATTTGTTGACGTCTCGCTCCTCTCATAGGTAGACACTTCAGTTTGTAGTTTTAATTCTTTTTGGTACATCATTTGTAACTTTGCGTATTGCTAAATCTTGAATAAACGCTTCTACTGAAATCCGACACACGGCACTCAGGGTAGTGTGTCTGAACAACGGAATGTTAAATACCACACCTTCAGTATGTTTGTACACCTGGATGACCGATAAGAAGCTCAATTAAACTGAGATAATTATTTAGAACTGTCATATTCCATATAACGCAGGTGACTTTTGTGGGTCATTTTGAGGTTCTGAAACATTCAGTCCATTTTCGTTTCCTCAAATCATCATAATGACCTCAGGTTATAATAATGTTTTGACAGTGATAGGAGACTAGTCATGTCATTCACTCAATTTTAATTCTGATGTAGCCGTTCTTCAGTCATGGCCAAACATTTACAACATAGTTCTACAAATGCGACACATTTGCGGTGTTGTTCAAGAGATTCTATCAGTACTTTGAATCGCTCCACCAAGCAACGCCTTTTAGTCATACAATTTGCAGTTAACAAGTAGTCTTTTTTGGTATTTGAATAAAAACATCGTTAATCTACAGAAAACCGTTGCGATACCACTGACTAAGAGGGCGGTTTCTTATGTCGAGCCTTTCAAAAGCCGTACTAAAATCACTGAAGGTTGCACCCATAGTTGACTTCCTATATTTCGGAACATATCAGATTTTTCATTCAATAATATTTTTATGAGAAACGAACAAAATGTTTTAAGACCATGCGGCTTTTAAAGGAAGTCAGATTTTTATCGAGGTACGCCAGTAAATCATTGATAGTAATGTTTCTAGAATCTTGAGCACCTGTTACGTCCAAGTACGAGTTTTCGCTCGTTCCAGTTATTGAAGTACTAGCCGTCGATATTCGCAAATCACGAACCCGAGTAGGCAAGAGAACCAAAACTCCAAATCAGGTACCAATTTTATTCGCAATTCGCAAATAATCGACCAAAAGTCGTTCTAACAACAATAATTATAACAATTACAAAACAAACCTTCAATTTTGTAGGTTCCTGGAGGAAAACTCCCAAATAACAAACCAAAGACAAAGGGAGCACCAAAATGTCCGAAAACAGTGATATAAATTAACACGCCCAAGAGTTCAGTAAGACAATTACGTCCAAAACACTGTGAATTAATAATATTTAAAATAAAGCTTTTTATCAGTCCAACGTCTTCAGTTCTCCCGCAACACCACCTCCATCTCCGTGTTCTTTTTTCATCGGAAAACTTGATTAAAATAGTCACGTCATAGCAATTACACAATAATAAATAGGTCTTTTTTGTTGGAAAATATAAGTGTTCCAGAGCTGATCATGGACCGAAACCCAAAAGTGGTAATGATGTCATGAAAGTTTTGTGCTTTTTCTGTGATACCTTTATGATGGGGGATCTCGGATACAGCAACCCCAGTGGCCAGGAATCAAGAATGTCAAGGGTTAACTAGGAGTATGTTCGATATGTCAAGGAGTGTTTGATCTTAATTGACCATTTGTTGCAAGGGACGGGCGGTAATACCTAACCAGTAGTGACCCATTGCGGGGCGCCTTCAGCTAGGATCAGTCCAATAAATCAAGTGAGATCAGAGTCAGTGTTGAAGAACTACTGAACTATTTATTTTCGGGATTTACGTACCAACATGGAAGCATCACTTTCAGGATATACTATCTGATAACTCTTTAGACTGTCCCGATTGAACCTGTCAACCAAACTACTCTGTTTACTCTGTATCTTCTTACGCAAAGTTTATTCATAGTGAGCATTGTGCTTAAATGATACAACGTACAAAGTATATGACTTTGACCATATGTGTGACCGATTTCCGGATACTTGATTCACGTATATTTTAACGACCCTACAACATCGTTTAAGTTCAGTGGCCTGATAAAACTGTTGCTCTCCACAATGAAGCGGTGGGCGTTGTTAGTATTCGGTGACCTAGCAAATCGACATGACGACCGTTTTTGTTTCACAAAGAAGCAGAACAAACATTAGGACGCTCTGCACAGTATGCACCGGCCGAATCTTACTTGGCGGAGAAGCTTTGAAGAATGTAAGTCCTTCATATATCTGGGCAGCATCATCGATGAACACTGTGGATCTGATTCAGATGTGAAGGCGCGTACCGGCAGAGCAAGAGCATCACATTTACAACTGAAGAACATCTGGAACTCAAAACAACTAACAACCAACACCAAGGTCAGAATTTTCAATACAAATGTCAAGACATTTCTACCGTATGGGCCAGAAACCTAGAGTACTACGAAGCCATTATTCAGAGGATACAAGTGTTTATTAACGGCTGTCTACGCAAAATACTTTTGATCTGTCAGCCAGACACTATTAGCAACAACCTATTGTAGGAGAGAACAAACCAGATTCCAGCGAAGGATGAAGTCAGGAAGAAGCGTTCGAAGTGGGCAAGACACACATTGGACAAAGTACCCAACCACATCACAAGGCAAGCTGTCACATGGAATCATCAAGGCCAAAGGAGAAGAGGAATACCAAAGAACATATCGCGCCGATAATTGTAGACAGATATGATAAGAATGAACAGCTGGATAGAGCTAAAAAGGAAGGCCTAGGACAGAGTGTGTTGAGGAATGCTGATCGGCGGCCTATGCTTCTTTGGGAGTAACAGGCATAGGTAAGTAAATATGTAGGCGTAATCTAAAGAACATATCAGACTATAAAAACAATTAATAAACCATTTGCTACGTACGAATCTCTCAAGGAGTGATTTTAGATTTGCTTTGAAACAGCTACATGCTTCAGATATATATGCCTGTCAATTGACTTATGGTAAGGAGTCTGTTTTGTTTGAATTTTAATAGAAGAGAAAGAATTATGACAATCAGAAAGTTATTAAGCATTTTAAACTAATTAAAAAGTAAAATTATGTGTCGATTGCTAAGGCGAATTCAGAATCAATTTTCAAAATGCCGTTTATTAAAGTTCAAACTACTAAACGCATTTTCAACTACTTAAAAATGAGTTTTTTTTCCATACCATGGTCTATCAGCTAACAAAGAACTAGCACTATAAAAGGAAAGTTTACTCGTGGATAATTCAGAAAACTTCAAAAAATTCTTTCTACAGACAGATTCGTTGTCGGAAAACACAACCTCTGTATTCATCGTGTTCCCTTACGAATATTTTAGACATTGTTTCCTGATAACATTTTTATTCCACTTCTTTATTGTTTTTCTTTGTTGTGGAAACAGTAAGATTTACATTTGAATATATATTGATTGCTTTTCTATGAATAAATAAATTTTTGATTCCTCTAGTATTCATTGGATATTGGATTGATGTCTACTGAGGTCATGACCGGTGTTTATTTTGAGATTCTTCGTTACTTCTTATGATTTAACAGAGTAGTTCTGTTCTACAGGTATTTCATCTGAACTTCATACTGATTCCTCATTCTATAATATTTATCCCTGATTTTCAGATTTGAGGATGAATGCCACTTGTTTTCAACTATTTTCTAGGTTGAAAACCTCGGAACTAACATAATCATGTAGATGTATTTGACTTTTTCATCACATATACAATAGTCTATTTTTAAAAAATTCAAGTCCGTAATCGATGTATGTGTGTTTGGCATTATACAGGTTGTCTTTAACTCTCCCTTGGTGGATATAATCGCTAACCAACATAGATTCTGTTCTTATTTCACTTCCAAAGTATCGGTGCCATAGTAATTCACCTTAATTATGTACTTATTGAAAAGTCTGGGCGGTACATTTGATATTTATAACCATAATCCTAAATGTATATGGTTTAGTGTCGATTTCTAAGAACCCGTCCATTATTTTTAGTTGTCAAAATGTGCTTTACTAATACCATCTTCATAATTTTTTCCCAGTCACTCATATTGAGTAAACATTTGGTAGTGCTTGCTACTGACGCTCAGTCTAATTACATAAACTAATCATAAATCAACCGAAATGCATTAAGATTTCTCCATTCCATCAATGTAGCTGAAAATACTGTTCACTTTTAAGCCATAGGAAAAGCGAATTTTATGCATACTAAATGGTTACTGCATTCCATAGTACAATCTTTTTATCTCTGGACAATGCTTTGTAATCCTTAGCGGCAAAGTACGATTAAGTCCAACGATAATTTGGTCAATCTGGCAATAAAATGTTCTTCAACTAGTCGTAGACACATCGAGAGCCCTGGCCTGGCCGACCACGCTTACCGACATTTATCCGTCATCTAATTTCCTGTTGGCCAATCGTTCTATGTAATGCAATAAAACTTCAAACTTCTGATTAGTATTTAATTTTTCTGTTTTAACACGTAGTATAGTTTAACTCGTGGTTAATAGAACATAAAAATCTTGTATTATCACTTGATAATTGATCCTTCTCCAAATTAATTTTAGGGTATAATAGTCTGAGGACACTAATGAACTCTTGATACGAATGAAATAATGAAGAAGTTTGAATCTCACTCGTGTTTCTTCGGATGGTGGTTTATATACATCCCTCATATTATAGATAAATAAGATGCAAAAGATCAATTTAAATTTGCATGTTGAACTCAACGATGAGTGAAAAGTTCTAACACCATGGTGACCAATGGTAATGGGTCTTAGAAATTGCAAAAACCAAAGGATAATATAATACAAGTGATTAAACATTCTTGGTTCTCAGATGGGCTTGCTTTAAAAACTAGTTACCTAAACCATTGTTGGGAGACAAATTAATCACTCATTATTCGTAAGCACTTTAAGTTATGGAGTATGGTGACTAAACTTTTACCTATAGTTTTAGTAATCATCCATTTCTCTATAATCCATCCATAGGTTACAGGAGACACTGATATTGTCCTTCAACATTTGGTTGGACCTATGGATATTTTAACATATCCTCCTTTCTTATTTGACGACTTAAAACATCTATGAAGATTTGCCATAAAGGTTTACTTACATTTATAGTTTCCCCTTGACGAAATTCTACTTTTGGTTGATATGTTTTAGATATGTCGTCTGGGGACACCAATTCACAACATAAAGAGAGTTTAATGCATGAGATCAATGCATTGTTTTCTCCACCAACAAATGAATCATACGGTAAAAAAGGTTCACTCGGTATTGTAAGTTTTTTCATAATCTTACCTACATATAAATATTTAATTGTTATTAGCCTTCTTTTCGTCGCGCAAGGAAAAACAATGAATCAACGACGAACAGTTCAGAAACAAATAATTCCAGTTTAGAGCACTACCAACTACCAATACATCTGGAAAAAATGATCCATTTTGGAGGAAACCTCGTGCTAATTGTCATGAATACTGTGATAGTTGTGGTTGTATTGAAGGCGAAAGACTTGTCTGCGATCGATGTCCAGCCAGCTTTCACCTTGAATGTCTTGACCCACCATTAGATCCGGATGAAGCACCTGTTGGTGTCTGGTTTTGTCATCGATGTTCAATGGTGTTGAAAGTATGTCAACCCGGACTTCATATTTATCAATCAAATATTTACTTTGTTCACTGACAATTAAACGATAATACTAAGTTGATAACCTTCATTTGCTTAACATAAAACGTCTGATTTTACGTTAAGCTTATGTTTTTTAACTTGACTATTTATTTTATTAAACTATTTGTAAGTAACTGTAATTTCAAGTTTATGTATATAGAATATTGCTGACCCTTTAGAACCATATAAGTCACAAGTGTTGGTAATTTGTTTCTATACAGAAACTGCATGGTGACATACTTGTTGCCAGAAGTGAGCATAACTTCGAGTGTACAAACTTTAATGAAAATCTAATGTGATTTATCAGCTGTTTAGTGATCTCTAATTTTCAATGGTTTTTCGGTTAGTATCTGGCTATGATGATGGCCATTCTCAAATGTCATTTCTTTAAGTACCTACGTAATTAAACAGAAATCAGATGAATTCCTTTGAGTTCTTCCTCATTTTCTTTTTCTGTGTGTTGAAATGTAAAGTTTAGCAGCTTTACGTGTATCATGTTCGTTCCAGGTCTTGCGTTACTTGTACCTGGATGTCTGTAAAATATAAGCTCATCTGTTCAAATAGTCTGAGTTAACAGAAAGATTTGTTAATTAAATTCATCCTATTAGCATTTTTGTTTTACAAATATGCATATTCAACACACCACATATATTTACCAGCCGATATTTTTTCATTTCCAAATTTTTTATTCATTCCCTTTTTAATATATAATAGGATGAAGAAGATAAAACTTCAACATCAAGTAGTCAAACAACTATAGCTACAGATACAGGTTCTTCACGTTCTGGTAAAAGTGGACAAAAACGCCAAGATCAAGCATCATCATCATCAGTTGGAACTACAACAGCAGCAACAGTTGGACTATCAGCTTCCACTTCTACATCTTCCATTAGTAATAACAATAATAATAGTCATTCTCACCAACAAAATTCATTACAACAATTTATCCAATCACAAACTAGCAAACGTCATTATACATTCCGTTCGACATTTAACGAACAATATTGTTTAGATATGAATAAATTATCGAGTAGTCGTTCCAGTACTTGGGGTGATTCAGCGTATGTTGCTGATATTGAAGAATCTGAGCTAAGAGCATTATGGAAAGTAATTGAATATGCGAAATATCAAAATCCAAAAGAATATGATCTACCGAAAGACTTATTACCTGGTGTTAAGCTTCCTGGTAAGTATAAACGTAGGTGGGTCTTTTCAATAAAAATGAACACACTAAATTCATAATCATACCTTTTTAATAAGTTTAGCTCAAGTCTAATTTATGTTATTTTAACTGAATTCCCATTCCTAACGACATATTTATTTAATCTCCATATGCTTTGTTTAAAATATTTCTGAAAGTTCTCGGAAGCTAGACTTTTTGCCTACTATTTCGTTTAACACTACTAGAATTGTATACATAAACAATTTTCCAAATTTCAGTCCAACATTCATCATTAAGGTAGAGAATTGGTCGGTCGAGTGGCAAATAAGATCAAATACATCAGCACAGAAGATCAACAGTAACCCTAACTTTGTACCATTCTTGGAAACTTCAATAACCCTACAAAAATAAATTGATTTACTTTTAAAACCCATCTCCCTAAATAGCCTCCAACATTTTATGAATTTTTCAAAAGTTTCGACCAGGTGTCGCCCTAAACCTCAATAGTTTAGTTGACACATTTATGGACAATTCTCAGTCAGTCAGTCAGTAACAACGTAGAACTTCGTACATACGTACATCAGTTCGAGTTGCCACACCACCTTAGCACAGAGATGCAGTTGTCGATTCAAATCCCGTAGTGGTAGAGGTAGCAAGAGTATAAGCAGTAATCGGGAAGATTAGCGTTTGGAGATGTTATTTAAAGAGTATAATACAGTAAATAAATTTGGAAAGAGGAAAAAAGGGACATGAAGAATTCAGAAGATTGAGTATTCAAACAGGAACGAAACAATTGTTCAAACAATAGCACCACAATTTATAACTTAACAATTAAATTATGCAACTGATTATTAATCTTGTTCAAATCCATTTATTTATTGAATTAAAATAGTATTTCATCACTATACTGGTGATTCATCTAAAAAATCCTCGTGCTTGTTTTATATTTTCTTTTGTAGCCTAAAGATAAACATCCAACTACAAGAAATATAAAAGGCTTGATATATTATTATTATTATTTTATTATTATTTTAACACATAGATATTGGTACAAAGAGACACCAAATACATATGCGCCACACAGATCTCATTTGATATGTATGAGGGCTGGGATACTGCCCGGATGCCCAGACCGAAGCAGGTGGTTTTCTTAGGGGGCCACTTCCCGAGCCTTCGACCTGAAGGTCTGACCCACAAGGCAGTGGAGCATCGTAAGGAGATGCAGTCCCATAGTAGCCAGTGACGAATAATAGATTCATACGCCATTTTTTCCCTCAGGATACTGGAGCTTATGTGCACCATTGGTTTGGAATCCGGTTAAAGCTCCGAACATTCGCTTTTCGTCCTCTCATTTTCGTAAACAACACCCGTGGTACGAGAAGGCAGTGAGTAGGGCTTCCCTGGCAAAGGCTATATACGCGTGACCATGTTAGAGCATTTCGAGAGGGAGGGCGGACTCTCTCCACTCTCGGCCATACCAGGGCATTTGGGGGCCTTGATACATTAAGTATATTCCTTTTAGATCTCACTTGCTAACTACTATGTATTGTGGGATAATTCACTGTAGTTCTGATCTAACATAGTTTTTGATCGAATAGTTAGGTAATTGAGTCGTATATTTCACGTAATTATATATTTTGGTCTAATATCTACTGCTAGTGATCTGAACAATCCAAAGCTCTATCCGTTATAACGTAGGCTACCTTCATTTTGAAATATTGGATATGTTTTAGTGTACAGTAGTCTAGAGTAATCTGCTTATTTCCAAATAACGGTCTATTTCACATTTGTTCACTAGTGGCTTCATTTACGAAAGAATAAAGTTACTGATTAACTTAACTTGGTTTATGTCATTGTTAGAGAGGATTTTGATTGTTCTGTTATTGATAATCTTGATTCAATTTTGATCAGTTTTCGTTGAAACATGGGCTTCAATATGAATGTTTTTCACAAGTTTTTCTAGAATAGATGCATTTATAGCTAGTAGTACATCCCAGAACGCGTGTTTCGTTCTATATGGAACTCATCGCATGAATATACATGCATCCCAGTACTGATGTTTACACTGAGATTCAAACAACAAGCCAATTCAAGTTTCTTCTAATACTGATATAAATGTCACATCCATATCACAGGTAAGTGGCTATCTGGATTTAGTAGCTCAGTAAATAATGCATTAGGTTTTTGAAGCAAAATGTATTGGTCCCGAGTTCTGATGCGGATACGAATACCGGTATACGAGTATATCTAACTAACTAGTCTTAACTGCAATAAAATGTCCATTATATGTTTCCTGGCTAAATACAAATCCACCTATACTACGTAAATTGGTTCTCGATTTTTTTACTATTCAAAACTAAGGAAGAAATTAATACACCACTTATCTTGTTCATCTGGGCTTTTTTTCTGATTACTTGTTAAGGTTCATATAAAACACCAACAGAACGGAAAAATAAAAGTATCATCGAATTAGAGAATGGTCTTATTCCACAACCTGTAAGACGTTGTTATGTATGTGTTCGGTAAGTTTAAAATCATATTTATGATTATATACATGTGTACATGATATATTACTCACATTATTCAATTGCTGAATGTTATCACAAGTTGTTTTTGTTTACATTTATGATTGTCTTATTTCAAATTTGTCCGAGTTGATGTAGCTTAATCTAAGTTAAACACTAACCAACAATCAATATGTTTTTAAACTTACTTACGCATGTTACTCCTCGTGAAGGAGCATAGGCCGCTCACCAGCATTCTCCATCCAACCTTGTCCTGGGCAATCCTTTCCAGCTCTTTCCAGTTGTTATTCATCCTTTTCATATCTGCTTCTATTTCCCGACGTAATGTGTTCTTTGGCCTTCCTCTTTTCCGCTTCTATTCAGGATTCCAAGTTAGTGCTTGCCTTGTGATGCAGTTTGATGATTTGCGTAATGTATGCCCTATCCATTTCCATTGTCTTTTCCTAATTTCTTCTTCAGCTGGAAGCTGGTTTGTTCTCTCCCACAGAAGGCTGTTGCTGATCGTATCCGGTCAATGGATGTTGAGTATCTTGCATAGACAACTATTTATAAATAATTGTACCTTCTTGATGGTGGTTGTAGTAGTTCTCCATGTTTCAGCTCCGTACAGTAGAACTGCCTTGACGTTGGTATTGAAGATTCTCACTTTGATATTGGTTGACAGACAGTTGTTTTTAGTTCCATATGTTCTTCAATTGTAGGAATGCGGCAATTGCTTTATCAATCCTCGCCTTCACATCTGTATCCGATCCTTCTTGTTCATCGATGATGCTTCCCAAGTATGTGAAGGGTTCTACATCTTCCAGAGTTTCGTCATTATGAGTGATTGGACTGCTATTCTCCGTTTTGAATTTGAGGACCTTGGTTTACCCCTTGTGTATGTTGAGGCCTACTGATGCAGAGACTGCTTCTACACTGGCTATCTTTATCTGCATTTGTTCGTGTGTGTTGGATACGAGGGCTAGGTCATCTGCGAAGTCCAAATCGTCTAATTGGTTCTAAGCTGTCCATTGTATTTCGTATTTTCCCTCAGATGTCGAGGTTTTCATAATCTAGTCAACCATCAGAAGAAAGAGGAAAGGAGAGAGTAGACAGCCTTGTCTGACTCCGGTCCTTACTTGGTGGTTTTTAAACTAGAAACTCAAAAATGTTCCTTGTTCCTTACTAGTAAAAATGAATAAAAACACTGACAAATTCATTTCTTATTGCTTTCTCAATAATAGTAATAAATAGTTTTTAATGCTTCTAATGATCGCTGTCCGAAAATACAAATTGTAGGTCTTAGAATTTAAGTTTATGTATTTCATTTAAAGTTATAATAACGATTCAATACAGTATCCTCTTTGTATAGATTTGGTTAGAAATTTTTAGAGATAAAACATTTTCTAACACTATCTGTTTAGAGTGGTGAGCCACTGAGTATCATGTTCAAACCTCGTTTTACATACTTCGGTTTGGTCAATCGATGATTATAAGTAACTCGAAGCCAAATACATGAATATCTGTACTTAGTAAACGAACTGATCACTAATATATTTAACTTTTAAAACTGAACACGATATCTATCACTAGAAACGTTAGAGCAACACTATCCACCATAATACTGTATAAAAAGAACTACCACTGAAGTGGTCTTTAATTGAGTTACAAAATGGATTACTCTTTTATTTTTACATGTTAGATTTATTTCGTTTTCCCGTCGTTAATATGTTTAAAACATACGATATATATTAAAGTTATAGTTTGTTTCAAGAGTCTACTCAGTCATCAGTCGTCAGCTGTAACGTAGGACGAGGCACATATATGCATCGGTCCAAGTTGCCACATCGCATTAGTACAACAAGATGAACAATAACTTTGTAGAAGTATCTACTCCAATGGTAGTAATCTATAAAAGAAAGATTGTGTATAAGGATATAATACAGGAAGAAAGAATTAGTTGGTAGAACGAAAGGTGTACACATCGGTTCTGAGTCATGTCACCCTGAGTCTCCAACGATTGGATACGATAGTCATTCGGACCCCAACTAAGTAGTCTGCATCTATTAACATGGCTCAGACTATAAGTTATGACGTTAAAGACTGATACCACATTTTGGGTTCTCGCTTCTAACTTTCGTACATCCCTCTCCAATACTGGTATACGTAACACATGGCCCAACCATCTCAGTTGATGAAGATTTACAACTCCGCGAACTGATTCACCATCATTCCATAACACCCTGTGTCTAACCTCACTATTAATTACCCGGTGATCTCAGCAGATGCGAGCAATATTTCTAAGACATCTGTTGTCAAATACTAGCAACTTAAGAGTATCTTCTACTCCTAATGGCCACGTTTCACAGCCGTAAAGTAACTGGTAAATACTCATCAAATAACCATGCCATTTTATACTACTATCATTGTATATCACTAAATCATGAATAACATTAAAGCAATTTAAGTTTTAATTCATTATTCAAGCCTTCCTCCCTCTGCACTCCTTCAGCTTCCCAAATATTAACATTTGTAGAGATAATATAATCGGTTATTGTTTTAGCATGGATATCAAAACCAATAATTTGTTCGGTGATTACTCCTTTTAATGACAATACGCTCTGATAATCATGCTATCGCAAGTTCAGATTCAAGATCGTACGTGGATACATACTAAGATAATTTGTTTTTCAGTTTGCTATGTCTTACTTATATTTGAGCGAAGAAAATGTGTGCACATCGAAACGCTAAATACTTACTTACGCCTGTTACCCCCAATGGAACATAGGCCTCCGACTAGCATTCTCTAACCCACTGTGTCCTGGGCCTTTCTTTTTAGTTCTATCCAACTGTTGTTCATTCTTCTCATGCCTGTCTCCATTTACCGGCTGTTGTAACGTGTGTGTGACTGCAGGTTTTTGATAAGCAGCGTTTTATTGATCGATTTAATGGACAGTGACACGTAAAACACGTAGCGGACGACCTAGAGTCTCGATTGGTCCCACTTCCCTGTCTAGCCCAGTCAGTTGAGTCCAGAACACAAGTCACGGCCTCTGAGTTATGAATCATTATATTTCAGACATACTCTATTTATATACTAACCAAACAGACCACATCGTACCATAAAAATAGAAAACAACATCTGTACAATATTTAACGAGTGAAATAAATAATGGCCAGTAGGAAATGTTCATTTAACGTCCAAGGACATCATTAGACGTAACATGATAATGATTGGCACATTATTCCTCAGCATCCATAACACCGGCGTAATATGTTGTTTGGTCTTCTTGTCCTCTTTTGGCCTTGAGGATTCCAAGTGACGGCCTGCCTTGTGATGTAGTTGGGTACTTTCTCAATGTATGTCTTATCCACCTCCTGCTCTTCTTTCTGATTTCCTCTACTGGAATCTGGTTTTTTCTCTCCCACAGTAGATTTTTGCTGTAGAAAACTAACTCGCTAAAAAAACACTAAATAAACCTCTCAATCACACTTAAACTAATCACAATATTCTTAATATTCATAGTTATATCCTCAAAATTTATCGGTAAGGTTAGGCTCAAAAACTACCATCTTTTTAATGCTAGTCGAATGAATGGCCCCCAAATGCCCTGGTACGGCCGAGAGTGGGGAGAGTCCGCTCTCCCTCTCGAAATGATCTCACATGGTCACGCGTATATAGCCTCTGCCAGGGAAGTCCTACTCACTGCCTTCTCTTGGCGGGGTTGTTGTTTACGAAATTGAGAGGAAGAAAAGCAAACGTCCGGTGCTTTAACCGTGTTGGTGGATCCACCTAGGGGAGTTGGAAAACCCTGATTCCAAACCAATCGTGTACATAAGCCCCAGTATCTTGAGTGAACAAAAGGCGTATTAACCTATTGTTGGTCACTAGCTACCATGGGATTACATCTCCCGACGTTGTTCCATTTCCTTGAGGATTAGACCTTTAGGTCAAAGGCTCCGCGTGTGGCTCCTAAGAAAACAATTTTTTTTGGGTTTGGGCACCCGGGAAGTGTCACAGCCCTCACACATATCAAATGAGATCTGTGTAGCGCATATGTATTTGTTGCCTCCTTGTACCAATATCTATGTGTTAAAATAAATAAATAAGTCGAATGAATTAACCTATGATAGGACCGAGTCAATCTGAAACTTAAAGTTATTATAACAATCCGAAAACATAAAAGTATGAATTAGGGTTTCATAATAAATGCTAGGACTAGGATTTAAGCTTTAAGATTATAATTTATGTATTCAACTATTTGTTCAATTAATTTATTTCTAAACATTTGTTTTTCAGAACATGTTTCTATGCACCTTTGTTACCATGTGATTATTGTTCATCATGCTTTCATTTAGAATGTTTAAATCCACCATTATCTCATTTTCCACCACGTTCTGATCGATGGATGTGTCCAAATCATACAGAACATACAACTGAACGTTATTTAACTCGTTCAATACGATTAACTGAACGTATGCAAATTTGGACTAAATTATATTCATCATTAAATAATGAAAATAATCATTATGAACAATCTATTGATAAAACTGATGAAATGACAAAAATACTTGAACATATACCTCCATATGAATTAACTTATACACCAGATGAAGAAAGTTCTATACTTTCTGATTAATGCGTACTATTCAACGTAGTAGAAATGAACAACAACAACAACAGTATCAATTATTGTCATCGAATTTATCCAATACAGCAATGTCAAGTATTTTCGATTCCATACTATATACTACTAATAATACTACTACTATCAAAGATAAACAACATATATTGTCCAATCGTCATTTATGGCGTTTAAATCGTGAATTAGCAGCAAAATCTAGAAATAATCAAAATTATTATGATAAACAGATAAGAATTGTGGTAAGTATTCTACAATTTTATATATCAGTCAGTCAGTCAGTTACAACATAGGACCAGGCACATATATGCATCGGTTCAAGTTGCTATATTTCATTAACACAACAAGATGAACAGTGAATTCATAGAAGGGGTTAATTCAGGTGGTAGTTTTATATCAAAGAAAGATTGCGTGTAGGGATATAATACAGAAAGAAAGAATTAGTTCGTAGAGAGAAAGATATGAAGTGATTTTAATCTCTTAGTTTAAGGGAAGATAGAGAGTGTATACACCTACGCCGTTGTGATCGATTCTGAGCCATGTCACCAAGAGTCTCCAACTATTGGTTACGGTAGTCATGTGGACCCCAACCAAGTAGTCTGCACCTACCATCAACATGGCTTAGACCAGAAATTAGTGTTCTACAGCTTATTAAAGAAATGAAGATAACGGATTTGTCAAAATACACAAGGTTATATATTCAGCTTTGAGTTGCACCTTTGTTTAATGTAACATCTAGTGATACTGATAAGCTGAGCAAACGGAAGTAGGTATCATAAAATCAGGAATCTATTATTAATCTAATGCTTAAACTGGATTAATATGGAGGATTCACTTAGGGAAGTTGGAAAACCCTGATTTCAAACTAATGCTACACATGTTTTCTAAGATCTTGAGGGTATAAATGGTGTATGAACCTATTGGTGGTCACTGGCTATCATGTGACTGAATCTCCTTACTTTGCTCCTTCGCCTTATGGATCACACCTTTAGGTCGAAGGCTCCTGGTGTAGGGCCCCCTTAAGAAAACTACCTGCTTCGGTTTGGGCACCTGGGCAGTATCACAGCTCATACACAAATCAAGTGGCCTATATGTATCCGGTGCCTCTTTTTAGCAATATTTATGTGTTCAAATAAATAAATAACTTTGAAATACCGATGTACCCCTTATTCTATTGTCGGACCAATCAGTGTTAATTACCTAGTAGTCATGCTATTATAATTTTAGACTGATTTTTTTTAATGTATGTAGAGTTGTATTTTTAATAGTTCCTTACATTCAAAAACCAAAGTACTGTTTTCTGATATAACTGAAGTATTGTGGAATAACGGGCATGATGTATGGGCGAGAATGATAATGTCATTGAATGATTGCTATTGAATTGTGTCAGCTTGTTGTCGGTTTTTGATGTGGAAATATATTACATTTAGTCAGACTAACCACGTGTTCTTGATCTGAATTGTGTTGAAGTCCTATAGAATAGATATTGTGAGAGGGAATCTAGTGTAGATATTCATCTAAAGTAAATTAACTTTGTTGTTTTGATTGATGTTATTAATTCAGTTATAGTATTTATATCCCTTATAAGATATATCTATACTTTTTATCCTTATCTATCAAGGTACCAAAAGCAGTTTAAACATTTATACAATAATCCAGTAAAACGAATTCCACGTATTAATGAATCATCAAATGTATATCAATTAACAAATTTACTTGATAGTTCCAGTACAGA